TTGCAAATCGGATTCAATCAAATCCAATAAAACAATGATATAGTAACAACAATAATATATATGATATAATTCCATAATAAGTGAAATTTAAAAAGAATATTGTATATGTAAATTTTATATCTATCTTGAAAGATTAAAAAAAAATGTTTTTAATAGACATTTGGATCAAAGAAAAAGAAATAAACAAACGACAGTAAGAATAAAAATGATTTGCATATAATATGACTGGATAGTTGATTTTATAGAAGCATATTTTCAGTTACATGATGATAAATTTATTTAATTATATATTGCATGGGGTCAATTGAAGTTCCAAAACTATGGGTTCCCACCATGTGGAAATAATATTAAATAACTAATATACATACTTATCAAATTAAACCCACAGGACCACAAAAACAAGTCGATCCTATTCTGTGGGTCTCTAAAATAATACTCTAACTTAAATTTATGTTCATTTAAAAAGATGATGGCAAAATGGAATAAGTGCTAATTTCTCAAGCATAGGTTTAAACAAATAATTAAGCCATTATAAAAACATGATTAGTTTAATGTTTGGTTTCTTTCATTTGAAAAGAATATTGCAGCTTGTCATGCATATATGCTTCGGTCCCAATATTAATTTGCACTAAAGACTACTTTTGACAAGTTGAGGTTGAAAATTTAGACATTGAGGTCTAATTTAATTCGATTTGAAAATGTGCATCTAGATAATTCAACTTGTCTCGATTGTGTGATAAGTAGTAATCATTTACTTATCTAAAATTTATGTGTCACTTCAGCGTCAGGTGTCTAAGAGATATAGTAAGGACGAGTTGAAGTCTTTAATTGTCAGTTGAGATCAAGTTTGTCGAAATGTGTACTTTCAAAGTAGTGTAAGCTTGTACTCAAATGTCAGCTGAGGCTATATTTGAGTGTTTGTTTATGTATTATGCCTAAACTAAATGCATGTTGCAGCACAATATGATAACATATATATTCAGTAAAATTTCATAAGTGAAGTTTGTAGAGAATAATATTTGTAGTCTTACTCCAGACTCCCGCCTTACAAAGATAAAAATGTTAAACTATAGTTAAGAATATTAATAACATGCCTTGCCAAGTCTTATGGCAACTGAATGTTAATATGTTGAAATATTTGGTCAAATAAGGAAACTATGTCAGCACTTTGGTAAAGTCAGAAAGGCACAGTACAAACAAATTCAAGGGACAATAATTCCATCTGATATTGAAATGGGAATACATATAAATATTTTTCGAATAATATTTTTTACTTGTATATATCAATATCGTACTAACAGAAAGGCTATCAAAGAAAGTTAATTTCATGATATATATATATAGTGTGTGTGTGTGTGTTTTCCTACAAAAGAAATTAATTGTCAATTTCAAATTGACATTATATTATTGTCTTGCAATTAATTCTAAAGTAATGAAGTTAGGTTTGTTGTTCAAATTTGATAAAGTTATATGGAAAGTCAAAAGTCAAAGTCTCTTCATTCAAATAAAGCATATTATATGGAAAATTCAAAGACCTTTAATAAAAATAAAAATTGTTTGTTCACTGTCCATGAAGGTTTAACAAAAATAATAGAAATGAAAAAAAGAAGATTTTATTACCCCACCCCACCCTTTTTTTTAAAATTTGCATAATGAATTGTTGCAGCACTGTTTTCATTAAAAAAAAAAAAAGGCATCGCCTCAATAAATAATGTGCAGATACGTTACGAGAGATACAATTAGAAATAACGGTATTCATAACAAGGTGAGAGTAAAATTTGATGGAAAATAAGATGCGGGAAGTGAGATAATTGAGATGATTGTTCATACATGTGATGAGACAGAGGTGAATTGAAAACGTATTGAGAAGAGTGATTAGACAAGATATGAAATACTATATAGTTTCAACTTGGACATGTCTTAGATATAAGACTGTGGAAGATAAGAAATAGAGTAAAGGCTTGTTGGTAACATAGATAGTCGTTGTCTTTCTATAAGTTCATGCTATATAGTCGTAGTTAGGGGTGTTCATGGTTTGGATAAAAACCGATTCAAACCGAAAAACCAAACCAAATCGATTTAATTTGGGTTTCGGTTTGATTTGGTTTTAGATTGTTAAGAACCGATAGTATTTGGTTTGGTTATGGTTTTGTTCGAAATAAAATCGAAGAAATAACCGAACCGAACCAACAAGTTATATACATAAATTTTATTATTATACATACATAATATATTATATTCATAAACAATTTTAAAGATTTTATATATGTTTCATCAAAATTTATTTATAATTTACTTATGAAAGAAAAAATGTCCAAGGTGAGAACATTTTTCTTATTGGTTTCATGTATATGAGTGTCTATGGAAATTCTTTGTGGGACTGAAAATGTCATTGTCTCTTCCTTCTATGCCAAAATAATGAATTTTGAAGTTTTATTCAGTAAATTCAATGATCGAAAGTTCTGTAATGACAGTCATTCTAACTATTTTTTTGTTTTAATGGATTGTTGTCACTTTTTTCACGTTTTGAATGAATTGTTTCTTTTATTTGTATGTATGGTTAATAACCAAATAACCGAACCAAACCAAACCAAAACCGAAAACAACCAAACCGATAAATGTATAATATATTTGGTTTGGTTTGGTTTTGATAATTTTAAAACCGATTAAGTTGGTTTGGTTTTGGTTTTGACCAATAACCGACCCAAACCAAACCGTGAACACCCCTAGTCGTAGTATTGCTATTTTAGTGCCTTGAACTTTGATTTTTGTTATTATTTGTTATTTCTTATACTTCAATTATCTACTATTTTATTGTAGTTATTGTTTTGTTACAATTTGTTGTTTCTTGTAATTCTATTTCTTTCTTTCTTTTCGAGCTGTTTATTCTTTGAGCCAGAGGTTTAATTAGAAATATCCTCTCTCTCTATGAGATAAAGATAAAAGGTCTATGTCTATTCTTTTCTCTAAATCCTATTTTATGAAACGTACTACGCTGAATATATTGTTGTTGAATATATGTTCTAGAACCAATTGTAATTAATTGACCCTCGAATATTATTCTAAACTAAAGTGGATTTGGTTTAATTAGATTAATACAACAAAAAAGAAAAATTAGTGCTTTCGGTGTAAAATAGCAGACTTTCATGTGACCTAATTATAAGAATCTCTTTTATAGTTTATTCCATCACAAAATCTTTTTTTATTTAGCTAAAATTATGGGTTTTACCTTTTCCATCAGACACCTCAGCATCATTTTTATGTAAGGAAAATCATTAAAATATTTAGCTTTTCATAACAAAAAAAATATTAATTCTACTTTATATGATACCTTTACGATCTAGAGCATCAAAAAAGTTTTTATAAAAATCCATACAAAATTGATTAGAATAAGTTTAAGTTGTGTTTATACTACGATTAAGTGAATCAAATGAAGTAACAATAATTTCGATTAATTATTTTAAAGCCTACCTAGGTGGACGTGCTAGGAAAAACAAATCCCATTGCACAAATATTTATTCTTCTAATTGTGCCCTAACACCATTACATTACTGATTAAACATATATTAGTAAGGTACTTATGATTGAGGTTAACTTAAAGGTACCAATAATTATATCCCCTAAATCATCAGTTTAACACATAACCCAACCAAAAGAAGAAGAAATAAAAAAAGAAGTAAATATGGGTTCGATATTTCCATCTTAGCATCATATATATCTGTTGTACACTCAATTATTGGTGTTCAGTATTGAATCTCAATCTTTTCAAATTTATGCGGCATAAAATCTCATTAAAAAAAAACGTTCTATAAAAAAAAAAAATCATACTCAAAACGTACACATGAAATCTCTAATTAAAAAAAAAGAAAGCTTAGTTCAACTCCATCCCCTGCATCATATCCTTTCGTTGTTCATTTTCTATTATTTCATTGTCTTGACATTCAATCACACTAACTCCCACATGTGCACCGCCTTACTTTATGATTTTTCTACCTCTTAATTATTTTTTTCAAAATATTTATCGTATCTTGTTTAAATTAATTTTTAAATTTGAATCGAATCTGGCTAAAGTTAATAAAAATATAAACAAATAGGACACCAATTATACGTGGAATCTATATGGAGTGAGTCACCATACATGAACAGAAACGTGGCTGCTTTCTGCTCACCCCACTGGTCGTTACTCAAACGGCAATTTCCCTTGTCTTATTCAACTTTATTACCCTCCCGCCAGCCCATTGTTTGTTTTATTATATTAATCCCTATATACTACTTTCTAAAACTATGGTTTGAGGAAATTTCGCAAATAGCTATTAAAATAACTTACTTAGCTTTCATATTTATAGTTTGCTAGTTACGATTTATAGTTATGCTAGAGGGAGAAAGGGGAGAGGTGAGAGAGATTGAGAGAAAAAGGAGAGACATGAGCGAGAAAAAGTAGAGAGTGAAAAGAGGTGAATTGATTTGTATACATGTAGAATTGTATGTGTATATGATAATTGTGTACATATGAAGTATACATATATATTTTTATATCTGACGAGCGAGATTGAGAGAGGAAGGAGAGAGACGAGCGAAATTGGAAGGGGAGGAGAGAGGTGAGCCGTGAGCGCGATTGGAAGAGGAAAGAGAGAGGTAAATGTATTTGTATATGTATAAGAAAGGAGAGAAGCGCGAAAAAGGAAGAGAGGAGAGAAACACACATAATTATAACTAAAAAAAAAATTGTGAGTGATAATTAATTCAAACTATAGCTACTTAACATTTCACCACAATCCCGTGGTTTGAGGCTTCTTAACCTTTAAGTATACGTGTTTAACAATTAACATAAAACACAGAAATAACACGCCTCTAGACCAAAAATATAATTCTAAAGAACCTAGAGGGTCAGGTATGCAATTAAAGCTAATATACCCCACCAAAATAATTTAAAAAAGAAAAAGAAATAATTCGGAGATTGCTATAAATACATACCTCGAGTGAAACAAAGGTTTGCCAAATCAAACAGCCAAACACGGCACTAAGAGATACTCTCCAATCTTCTTCTTCTTCTCTCTCAACTGTAAAACAGCAAAAATGGCGGCTTCTGCTCGACGATCAACCGGACCGGTTCTCCGTTCACTGTCCCCCGCCGGGAGATTTTACTCGTCGACATCTAGAACGTCGTCGTCTTCTGCTTCGTCGATCCGGTTCACACTGGACCGTGAAACTTCCCCGAGCCGGTCTATTTCCGTAATGAACCGGCAGAAAACAATGGCTTCTTCTCAGAAGAAGACGTGTATGTGTTCGCCGACGAATCATCCAGGTTCGTTCCGTTGTAGTATGCATAAGAAAATGGATAATCGACGGAGTAGTAATACTAGCCAAACGGCGTCGAATTCGATCCGATTGCATATGAGGCGATCGGCGATGACGAATTCGTTAGTGAGAATAGGAACTGTTGAAGGTGAGCTTGTTAAAAGAGCTTTAGCGGCTTTGATTCGTCCTTCTTCTCATCAACAGCGCCGCCGTTCCAATTTCCAACGCCGACCTAGCCGGCTTTCCGTTATTTCCAGTTCCGGTGATTCATAAGACTGTTATCCGATCTCTAGAAACTTCTGTTGAATGCTGACGTCAGCATCAAAACCGACTTTCAGCGCCGATCTAGCCGGATTTCCATTATTTCCGGTGCCGGTGATTCGAAAGACGTGAATAGAGCTGTTAGAAGTTTTGCTTTTCTGTTGAATGCTGACCTCAGCAATCGATGTCTGGCCGTGAAGTGACGTCAGCTGCAACAAGGTGGCGGCAAATGGAGTATATACGGTGGACGTCGGAACGAACGATTTTTATGTGTACTCCGGGGACCAAAACGTTAAGATCCATATGTCTATAGTCTAAATACATGAAGAAAATTATAAAATCATCCAGTTTTCCTAATTATGAATGCATCACTAAGGTTCTAATTCCAATTATTTACATAGACTTATAATATTATAAAAATTAAGCATAATAACCAAATTGAAAGCAATTTAATTTAGATTTCAACACACAATCCGATCTATGTGAGAAATGAACGAGGTGTTAAATGAGTTGGTTGAATCGAATCGAAACAATATCAAATAGGTTATCATAGTGAAATTTCACAAATGAATTTAACATATTTACGGAAGTCTCATAACTGGTGTCGGAAATGATAGTGTGAAAATTTTATTATTAGCTCGTGAAGGTAAAGAGACAAGTTTCTGAAAAATCTCTTTTGTCCGAAGTGCAATAAATTCGTAGAAGGAAATAAAAATAATAAAATATCGTGGTAATAATATAGTAAACAATTGATGATGTTGGTGGTTAAATTCAAAAAATAATATTGTTAGTACAAAAAATAAAGCAGTGCAGAATATATATGGAAGGAACCGTAACAATAATTGCAAGGTGTGATGCTCATAATATATGAATATTTGATATCACATATCAAAAGTCAAAAGACTATTTGAATGGTCTAATATTGTGATCGACATGATGCTCTATATTACATAAAATGATAATTTTTAATATTCTCAGCTTTCAAACCCTCCTATTTATTATTATGTTTTAGATAAACTAAAAATGTATTATATTTTATCTAATCATATCTTTTTATTATTTCTACGATCTAGCTCTGTTATTTCTTAATCTCACCATATCTAATCTCTCATACCTCTTCGTTGAAATATCAACACATAATTCCTTTACATGTTTAAACAATATCGAATAGGTTTATAAGTTAGTAAACTAATGAGTTACTCATCGATTTTAAAATTACTTGAAACTAAAGCGTATTAGACTGAAATAAATTAAAATATGAATCATAGTTCAAACATGTTCACTTCTTGCTAAGTTAATTGCTTGGTAAATACCTAAATTTGTAATGGATGTCTACAACTAGTTGATTGATCGAAAATGAATATTGTTCAATGTGACATTTTTTAAGTTTTGAAATTCAATTTAGTTTTTATTTTCTATTGTAATTTTTTTAATATATATTTTTTAAAATATGATAAATTATCAATTTGTTGTGATTAATATTTTTTTAATATGTAAACCTTAATTTTATATATAATTTAAAATATTTTAAATTGTTAATTATTGTGATATATAATACTTTTTACGTAATTTTTAAATAATATATGTTACCCCTATCCTTATTCATGTGACATTGATAGAATTTGGAGAATCAACCAATTTTTAAAAATATTTTAAGTTATTAATTATTGTGATTTGTATAAAAAAAATTAACATAATTTTTAAATATATTACATATTAAAGAAATAGTAAGAAAACAAACTAAAACAGAAAGAATACTTAAATAAGTCTCTTACATTTCAAGAAAAGAATCACTGCGCATGCTATACTCACACATATAACTCAAGTAGACATATTATTCAACAGTCGTATTATAACTTCTTATATATGATATAGACATAGTTTAAACTAAAAAAATTCAGATAAACTCGTAACTTGTTCATTGAATACACCCCTTATTAGAACACAAGTGTTTTACTCGTTCATGAACTTATACTTGTACAAATTGAGTTCCTTTTGTGTTTAATGTTTTTATAGTTTAGGCTATCCTTCAATTTCGTTACATTGCGTAACAAAATGAAACTTCATAAAAGTGACATTCATATTTCAACATCTTTTGTTGTACAAATTGACTAAAAACCAAAAAGTAGTTATACACATTTTTAAAAAAAAAAAAACTATAATGTAATGGCAAATGTGAATGTTAAATGTGTAAATGAAAAAATTGAGTCGAATTTGAACAGACAAAACATATCAAGTCGATAAGTAAGTTAACATTTGAAGTTCATTTTTGGCAAAAATAATTGGGTCAAACAACATGTCATATCTCATCAATTTGCAAAATATGACTGCTTTACATAGAGAAAATTAAATCAATATAATCACTTTATTTTCATTTTGAAAGATTTGAAAAAATAAAATATGCTTATCCTTCTTTTGTTTCCTTTCATTTTTTGCCTTATTAACTTCATCTTCTTATCGAAATAGCCACTTAGTTTGATTTGTTGGAGATTAGTCACAAATTATAAGATAGTGGAATCAATGAAATATAATAAGGTTCTTGCTCTCCTTTTTATTTTTGAAAAAAAAAGTTTAAAACAATAAAATCTTAAATTATTAGTTTAAAATTTTAAAAATTTACGTATATTCCAAACTCAAAATATATAGTTTTTATATTTGAGTTTGAGATATATTTAACATGCTTTAGTACAATAGTTTGATACGTCACTTAAGTTCAATTCATCAAGTCAATTAACAAACAAATAACATAATTTATTAAAATTTGAGCTGATCGAACGAACTAAAAGAGTTTCGATTTTGTTGCCTCTAGTAATCAACAATATGAAAAGCCCTCGTCTCTACTAAAACTTTAAATACCTTTCCAACCAATTTGTATCAAAAGCAAAATATTAGTAGCTCATTGATAAAGATGTTATTTTGTTTTCTTTAGGTGTGAAATTCAATTCTCACCAAATAATACTTTTTTTCCTTTTTCTTACCATAATTCTTCCAAAAAGACAATAAAAAGAAAATAAAAAACAACTTAAAAAGGAAAAGAAAACCACTTGATCGCTGCTTTCAATGTATATATTTTAATATATAGTTGGTATCCAACTAATAGATAGTTGGTTAGGAAAGTTACATAAATTGACAAAAAAAATAGTGTATGTATTTTATTTTATAATAACTGTATCTATATATGACCATGACATTGTCATCTTCTTAGCTTTTGTCACTTTAATTCTAGATAAGGTGATGAAGATAAAGAGAAATCCACTAAAAAAAATACAAATAAATCTATAGCTAATTTATATTATAAAAATTAGGTACAAAAGCACTAATATGAGTTACAGTGGAATGATTCAGATCTTTTTACTTTTAGTTAGAAGTCTGGATCAATTCGAACCCAAAAGAACAATCCTATTTGGAGCATCTCCTCAAAAATAAACTCCGCATCACGAAATCAAATTAGTTAAACTCTAATATAAATACCAAACATCGATAAAAAAATTCGAACCCAAAAGAACAATCCTATTTAGAGCATCTCCTCAAAAATAGACTCCGCATCACGAAATCAAATTAGTTAAACTCTGATATAAATACCAAACATCGATAAAAAAACAAAAAGAAAAAACTACAAAAGGGAAAAAAAAGTAAAGATTTTATTTTTTTTGGTAATAGAAATCATGACCACATGACCCTACTTTGGACAAGCTACTTAGGCAGACAACTAAAACCCACTTATGTCATTTCCCTCTTTTATTCAAAATTCATATCTTAAATCCTAGTTCCGCCTCTGACTATACATACATATAATTCAAATAATAAATAAATAATATATGATTTTATATAAGGGCAAAGCCAAATGAGTACAAAGTGGCAAACCTTCTGTAATTAAAAAATTACACTGTATATATATAAAACTAAAACTATTTTCTTATTAAACATAATAGATTGAATGTTTTTGAATACTTCATATATATACTTCTTCGTATTCTAAATTTTATTAATGAAAATTTAAATTCCGCCACGAATATATATAGTGTCATCATCCAACAATGACATACATGTACTATATGTGTTGAGCAAGTTGGAAGGACCCACAGAAATTTCCAAATTACAATGAAGAAGTTGACAAGCCATGTGATGATGAGGTAGATGCACACACAAACCACATAAGCTAGATGTGGATTTATTGAGGACTACTTGTTCTTTTATGCTAAGGGATAAGGATATAATCATTTTCTCAAACTTTATTATAATGTCCCATCATATATATAATTATTTTTTGATGGTGTGATATAGTTGCAAACTCTTTAATATGCTAATATACAAAATTAATAGTTTCACCTCCCTATGCTTACACCTCTCATCCATCAAAGTTGTGTTCAAAGACTTCATTTAATCGAAAATTCAGTTATCTCACGCGCTATTATGACATGACGATTCAGTACCTTTTAAATGTTTCTTGTCCTAAGCCCCATGTATCCGACTACCTTTGCAATTTTAACGATCTTACATATGTTATCTAAACGATAAATTAATGATAGTAACACAATTTATCCTAAATGAAGATATATCTAATTTGACCGATAAAAAAAATGTATTTGTCTATGGACTATTTACTATATGTTACATGAAGAACCTTAGGAGTCATTTGGTATACGGAATAAGGTCGGATAAATTAGTTCAAGAATTATAATCTCAGAACTATATTTCCGAAATAACTTAATCCGCAAACGAAATGACCTCTTAAGTACTTAATTAGGCCTATATCTCACAAGATTTAGAAGGACATTGTCTTGAAGTTTCTTAATCTCAGATGGTGTCACATTGCAATATTCTAAATCCAATGTGTGTAAATTCTTCAAAGGCTTCAAATATTTCAATCCATCATTGGTGATGCAAGAATTTGACACATTCAAATACACCAACAATTTCAGTCCTGCGTTATTTTATAAGAAAAAAGAAAACAGGTGAAAATTAGGCCACATATGAACAAAAATATATACAGAGACGAACCTAGAATTTTGAATCAAACGGTTCAGGATAAACATAACATATATATAATGTATTTTTACATGCTAGAACTTCTTTTGTGCATATGTATACATGATTCGAGCTGAAAGTAGCTGGCACGAGTGGATTAGCTAGACGCGCTTTTCAATCCACCTTTAGACTAAGATATCAACTAGGCAGATCTAAACTTGAATGCGTTAAAGTGAGCTTAGGTTAACAAATGGACGGTTACTAATCCGTCCAAAGGTTACCTGAGCTGAAATGAATCGAGTTAAAATGGGCTAAACAATAAGTTAAACTCCTAAATACGTATATGCAAAGGTGTCTAAATTTCAAAACGCGCACACATTCACACTACGAGCGTTTAAATTTTCAATTCAACATGTTCATGTTAACTTTTCGAGTAGATAAACGTACCTGATAGAAGCTCCAATGTCTTATCGGTCAAATTCCGGTTCTGTGATAGGTTCAAAAATATCATGGAAGAAAGATCCTTTATATTTTCGACTCCAGCATCCGTTAACGTGCCACCACAAAGGTCAAGTGATTGCAGATTTCTGAAATCTGATGAGACAATCATACAAATTTAGAATTTGAATACGCAGACACAAGTATACGAGGTCAACTAGTAATAATAAAGTGGTGAGATCGAGTATCGTCCCATAGAGACTTATCTAGATAAAAAATACTTGTCGATGAAATTAAAGGAAGCATAAGGCATCATACAACTAAGCCTGACCTTAATTTATGATGAATTCTCGCAATACATAATACTAAACCTTACGGCACAAGAAAGAAAGAGAAGAAGGACGAATACAACGTTTAACGTACATGTGAGATACTTTGTCCCGGAATCCGTTATGTGAGCTCCAAAGAGATCCAGGTGAGTCAAACCAGTTAAACCTATACTCCATAGAGACAAAAGAATAACATGATTAAATTTCTAGCAGCAAACACCAGAAAAGAAATTATACGATACGATACAAAAAAACATGTTACTGAGGAATTGATACGCGATGAGCCGTATCTCAAAACAGAAAGTACATTTTGCATCCATCATATACTAAGCATTCACACTTCGTCTCGTGTTTCTTATGGCTAACCTAGTGTGAGAAATGCAAGCCCTGAGTCTGTAATTTGGCGAACGTCCAGATTAAGTGACTTCAGACATGTCAATCCAGATAACATTTTCAAACCATCGTCCGTCACTAAGGTGAATTTGAGGTTGAGATCTTCCAATTTTGCCAAACCTAAAACAAAGCGAATCACTCAAATCTATTCATAAAACACGCAAAACATGAAGCCGGAGACAGATTTTAGTCCCCCACGAAATGCAGATATACCAGTGACACCCTTCTTTATTAATAAACACCTATGGTTGCGTGTAAAATCCTCCAAAAGTAGTACATTTTTTGAGTATAAGACATGGTTGCTGCAGGAAAGTTCGAGCAACATAGATTAACATACTACAACTTTCATCAAACGTGGATGACTTATTAACCGGAGAAATTATCTCAAAGATGTAAACAGAACTCAAGTGACTCGACTAAATTCCAGTAAGATAAACCGAATAATCAGGAATTGATTCGAGTTCAGGACCGTCTACGTTCTGTTAAGCGTTGGTTGATGTTCTATACCAGATAAATGAGCCAATCCGTCATCTGTAATCCTACATGAGTCAAAGTCCAAGCCTTCCAATTTTGTCAGATCTGCAATATTGATCCAATGAAATGAAACGCAACGCTCAATTAATGTAAGGCGGGGAAAAAATGAAACGCAACGCTCAATTTATGCAATCAAAGATGATAAACACAGACCTTTCATATGGCCCAAACATTCATCTGTAATGTGGTTAAATCCCAAATTCAATACCTTCAACTCGCTGAGTTCTGCACGGTATACAATATTAGCTAAAGATGTAACAATATCTTGCTCGAATCAGTTCATAACAATCCAGTTACCCGAAAACTTTTCACATCCATCATCTCTCAGACAACATCTATTGAGATTCAACGATTGCAGCGAAGGAAGCTCTGTCGAATTAAAGAAGTTTCCATAAGAGACACTACTATTAAAAAACATTACTGATGCCTTTATTATCCTATGTTTGCTTGCACTACACGGACCCTCCAAAAATTGCACTACTTTTGGAGGATCAGACATGCATTAGGTGACATTTTTGAAGAATCCAAGCAACATAGCTTTTATCAACTATAGGATCGAAAATGCACTTGCATCTTAACTTAATAAAACTACGATATACTACTAGAAAAGTACAAACCTGATATGGTATCCAAACATGAAGTAGTAACATGAGATCCTTCCATATTTAGTACAACAAGTTTGTTCAAACCTTGAAAAAAATCAAAAAGAAAAGAAAATTTCAATATAAGTATAAACGAGTCTACAAAGACGACAACAGAAATACTCATTAGTACCTCTCAGATAAGACACTCCATAATCTGTTATGTAGAGACACACGATCTGAAGCTCCTTCAAACTCGCGATCCCTGAATTACATCACGTGAAAACGATCAAATGCTCACCATAAATCAAGCACAGCAAGATGACACATGCGATGATTTTAAACCAACGTTCACCACCGATACCTGCCAAGGGCTGCATGTCTGAATCCATTATGCATTGACAACATCTTACACTGAGAGATTCAAGTTTCGGTAAACCTGAAACAAAAGTAGAACTCTTTATCTTAAGGTGAAGCAATTTTTTTCTGACGGAACAAAATTGAAAGCATACAATGTCAACGAAAGCAAATGTAAACTTCAAATCCTGGATCCACCTATGGTTCCACTTCCTATAGCTACCTCGATGGTAGAACCGTGTAATACTTAAAGATAAATTATTGGCTAATAACCAACCTTGAAGATGAACAAATCCTCCATGAATTTGTGGACACCTCTTGAAATCCAACTTAACCAATTTATCTAAGCTGGATAAAGCTTCCATTGCTTCAGCAGTAACCGAAACACATTTTCTAAAACTCAAATATGTCAAATTCGAGAAACCTGAGGCACAAATACAATGATCGTCATCACCAAACAAAAGATCGAATCACAAATTAACCTTCCTAATCCGACTAGTAAAATAGTAAGATAATGCAAACACGCGAAGAAAATAGTTAGTCAAATCAGTTTTATACTGTCTATATCATCATACACTCTTCAAAGAATCTATGTTGCTTGCACTCTCCAAAGATGTTGAGCGGTGCGTTAGTGCATTTTTGGAAGATCAGAAATGAATATGGCAACATTTTTGGAGAATCCAAGCAACATAGCAAAGAAAACAGCAATAAACAGAGAGAAAAACATCTTCTCATCTTCATATAACACTCTCCTTCTTAGGAAAACCGGTTCACGAGAAACTAAACATACAGATTGACAAGTAAAACAAGAAACTATTGCGAGAGAGAACAGTAATAACTACCACTGACTTGCTTTATCCTCTGTTCAGAAATACGGTCACAGCAATCGAAGGATAACGCTTGGAGATTCGGGCAATTTCTCAACAGACTGAATCCGAAATCAGTGACCTTAGAACCAAAAATATATACAGACAGTAAAGATGATCCTTGTGAAGAAAACACATCCATCCAATTATCTTTCACACCTTTATATTCTCCTGTCCACATATCCTGTTGACAAAAAAAAAAGTCCTATAAGATCATGTACTAAAAAAAAATCACTTGGTTTTTCAAATTTCGATACGATATGAATGTGAGACGGGATTTTACATGCAGTGCACAATCTCTAAATGCTTCAATACTGTCATCCGAAAGGCGGTTTGAATAGACCAGATTGTTGAATATCAACTGGCTTATGTCCCTTGGCAGCATTGAGAATGAATTGTATTTGTCAAGATCCTGTTAATAGAAAGGAGCATAAGATTTCCATATTGCTTGGACTCTTAAAAAATGCCGTTGGGGCCATGTTGGATCCTTCGAACGTAGTGCATGTTTGGAGGATCCGTTACTGGTGCGGCAATATTTTTGGAGAGAACTCCGTGTTACATGAACCAAAAGAATTCAATAACCTTAACGGTAGAAGCAGAGGCAGCCTATACTAAACGAGTTCAACCGAATGCAATATTTTCGACAAATAACATGATTATATATGCGTTTAAATGCATAATTTCAAAAGTACAATATGCTCAGTATTAAGAACATTAATCTTGTGTTACTCAGACTCTCCAAATATGTTGTTGCATCCGTTTCAGATTCTCCAAAAACGCATTACTTTTGAAGAGTCCGAGCAATAGAGTATTAAACGTTGAACGTATCAAGTTTATACTATGAATCCAACTCTGCTAAATGAAACATATTAAGAGAAAATCAATCACCTTACGTATACTATGAACACATAATTTCATGAGGGACGGACAATTGTTTCTTCCCAGAGGACCATCCATGCCACGCCCAAGAAGGAACGACTCTAAACAACTCGATCTCCCAATTTTGAAGCGTCTACTTGAGAAACCTCTTCTAGTGATGTTATCATCATCATGTGCATCTCTCTTTAATGAACAAGCACCCCTCATTCGATTAGGAATACACCAACAAAGCTTTAGTCTACGACACAATGAGAGCTAATAGACAACAGCACAACCGGACATTCAAGAAATGAGCACCCTTACACATGTTGTAGAAGAACTTGATCATAGACACTTAAAGCCTGAAAGAGATCAACGATATATGTAGAACGTCAAATTTCTCATATGAGTTTAAGTTTTACGTATTGACAATGCATAAACTTTTGCACTATTAAGTAAAGTCAACATACAACTGTAATTCTACATAACAAGTCTGAAAACTCTTTAATTCTAAATTTTTACATGATATGTTTAAGATCAGAACACAAGAGTAAAGAACATTTCGATACCTTCTACATATCTTTAGTTTAGGACTACAAGATTCAAAAATCGTTCTTTACTTTCTTGGATTTCGTGTCAAGTCAAAACCAGACAAACAAACTGAAACAGAGGAAATATATGATTCTTGCTGTTTTTCTTTCCTCTGTTTTCATCTTGTTTGTACAAAAATCAAGAATCATAATTTTCACTTTCAGTTTTTCCACTAATACTAGTGAAACTTTATGTATAAACAAACATCTGCATAGTACCTCCGAATTCTCGACTTAATTCATATCACGATGCACAAAACTTGTGATCTTAAACGTGACATTTCTATGCTACAACAACATGTCATTACTAAAGGCTAAAATCGAAAATTTAAAGTCGGATTTTTTTTCAAAAACACAGAAAGGTATCTTTTTGTTATACTACACCAACAAGCATCTACATTCTTAACCTCCAAAATTTTCACTTCATATCATTAAGCATAGAACTTACACAGAACTCGTGATCTTAAACATGCCACGTCAATTTTTATGCTACAACAATATGTCATTATTAAGAGTAAAATATCAAATTTAAGTCGGGAAAAAATTACCAACATAGAAAATGTGTCATACAATTAGCTAAAATAAAGTTATTCTAGGCACAATACTAAATCCCCACAAAAATACAACAATGACAACAACAAATACCAGTATAATCTGGGAGGATAGTGTGTATGCATACATTACGTGGCATGTACATAGGTTATTTCAATTGACTATAATTTTTGTTTCTATAAAAAAAAAGTCTCATAATCAATTGTTTCAATACCAAAATCCAAAAACACATATAAGAAAACATAAACCAAATATGTTTTCTTAATCAAAATATCACCAAATGAAAAAGAGAGAAAAAAAAAAGACCTTAAAGAGGGAATGCTCCAAAATAAGCCTTTAATATATTTCAATGAATATAAGAGCACAAAATATTTCTTGTTTTTCCCTTATATTAGAGCTTATTAGAGATGCATAAAATCAAGAAAGCTTGTGGATGTGTGCCACGTGTCCAAATCTTTGTATAGAAGAGTGGAATGTATACCTTGTACTTCGGTTTTTTTTTTTTTTTTTTGTTTTCTTCTCATGGTGTAATATGTTGTGTCAGACTAATCATCAAAACACTGCAAAATGATGCCTAGAGGATAAGGATATTATCTCAGAGGATACACATTAAATCTAGTATTTGATATCTGCATTAAAATTTCAATACTTTCGAATTTAGATATATGAAATTGTGAAATGATTTACTTCTCAATTTTCTAAATATTAAGAATTCAAACTCAAACACTTTTAATTAAAGATGAAAGATTATTACTCTCCCATTATAACGTTTAATTGTAGGTGTAATTGGTAATTAAGAAACACTTTTAATATTATGTGTCTTAACGGGCCTAAATTTCTTTTTTTTCTTAGTAAAATCTAAAGAGAATCTAAAAGCCTTTGTACTTTCTACATTAGATTCCATACTGTCGAAGTCAGTACACATACTTTCTTGTTGTACACTTTACCCCCCAACAAAATGATTAATATCAAATTCACATCCCAAACCCTAAACACATATAATATTTCAAAACCCTAATTCCCCTTTTCTTTTCTTTTTCAAAATATTTCTTCAATTCCCTTTAGGACAGTCAAACCCTACCTACCCTAAAAACCCCACACCCCCTTTCTGCTTCTCTTTCCAGAAAGTTTTGATTTTGGGATTTTGGTTTTCTTGAACTCTCTGTTTCTTTTTGTCTTTGCATTTTTTGGGTTGTTTTGTTTTAGGGGGAGTAAAAATGGAGGTTAGTTTGAGGTCTGATGTAGCTGTTTTTGGAAGAATGGTGGTGGGGTCTGTTCTTGAAGCTGTAGTTGCTGAGACCCTTTTGGCTGCTCAGAGATCTGTTGCTTCTTTGCTCATTGTGGTATAACATACTTGTCTTTTAACTTACACTTTTATTATTTTCTTGAAAAAGTTGTGATTTTTAGTTGTGGGGTTTAGATTTCTTGCTCTGTTTTCTGCTTATGTAGTTGTTTGAACAGTTCTTGTGTCAAATTTCATTGATTCTTGCTAGTAGAGTAGTTAAAGCTGGGAAATTTACTGTGCTGCATTAGGTTTATTGTTATTGGAAACAACCTCTCTGCATTAGGTAAGGTTTGTGTACACACTACCGTCCCCAGGCCCCACTTGTGGGATTACACAGGGTATGTTGTTGTTGTTATATGTTTAGTGTATTTTTCCCCAAGCTGCTAACTTTAGGTATTGTATGTTAATAAGTTGTATTCTTGTTGAACGAATTGTAGAGAAGAGCTTTATTTATATTGTTTTGCTCTCTTGCTCATTGTGGTATTTCATACATTTCCAACTTACACTCTTGTTATTTTCTTGAAAAAGTTGTGATTTTTATGGTTGGTTTTGGACTTTTTGCTATGTTTTCAGCGTTTGTAGTTGTTTGAACAGTTCTGTTCTAGAATTTCGTTGCTTGAGGCAGTTAAAGCTTGGAAATTTTCTGTGTTTCATTAGGTTTCTTGTTTTAAGTTTTAACTGTAAGTAATTGTTCTCCAAGCTTCTAACTTTTGGTATTGTATGTTTATTATTTATGTTTCTAATGATGGGTTTTGGATTTGTTGCTATGTTTAAACAGCTATTCCGTTAAATTTCGTTGTTTCTTGCTAATGTGGTAGTTAAAGGTCGGAAGTTTTCTGTGCTGCATTAGGTTTCTTGTTTAAAAGTTAGTGATTATTCTCCAAGCGGCTGACTTTTGGTATTGTTATATTTATAAGTTATGTTCTTTTCAAGTAATTGTGGAGTAAAGAGCTCTGTTACTTCCTTTTCTTCTTTTGCTTCTTTGCTAATTGGTGTATACCTTAAACTTCCAACTTCTGCTCTTTATTTTCTTGATAGTTGTGATATTTAATGGTGGGTTTTGGATATCTTGCTCTGTTTTCTGCTTCTGTAGTTGTTTGAACTGTCTTGTGTAAAATTTCCTTGCTTCTTGCTTATGGGTAGTTGAAGCTCGGAAATTTTCTCTGGATGTGGAATAAATGTCCACTTTCTATGCTGTTCAGATTCTCTAAAAATGTCAACGGGTCCAATTCTCCTTGAGTAGTGTATTTTGGAGAATCCGACACTGGTGCGGCATGGCAAGTGAAAAGAACTATTTTGGATATATGAAATTTATGGGCATAATAACAACTAAAGAGGGAGACAAATGGTCGTAGGAGAAACGAAAAGAACATATAGTGGTAAAATTTGATAAGTGCTCTTCCTTGAACAAAAGTACGTAAAAGTTTCTTGTTTGCGCAGGTATTGCCAATTTTTAAGCACTTTGGGAAAAACTCAATTGTCCATATATGCTTGCAGGAAACTTAAAATTCAAAGATCTAATTCTCTTTTTGCTTCCTTATAAGCATATTGAAATTGTTAGATAGCACTTGATGCAAAAGCTTGTCATGCTTATTCACTTTAGTTGTCCAACTTCTGTTGTGCCTTTGATCGAACTTTACAATTACGACCTAGAAACTTCTTGTTCCTCAAGTTCTCTCGTAATAGTTCCCTTATCAAAGTCTGATGCTTCAGGCAGGAATTATGCTCAAGGATGCTGATGCATTGCCAGAGCTGATAGGCACTGATAAAAGGTACTAATTGTCATCTTCACTATACACACAGCATTCAGAACCGGAAAATTTCATGTGGCGAACACCAAATTTTGATGTCATTTTCAGGTTTCCATTCGAGGAGCTGCATAAAACAGACAAAGCTGGACCTGAGAACAAAGATGGTAGCGACACAGAGGACGATGATGAAGATGATGATGGAGAAGCTGATGATCAGGATGACGATGATGCTGATGATGAAGACTTTGCAGCTGAAGGAGGAGATGATGATGATGAAGAAGAAGCAGATCCTGAAGACAATCCAGCATCTAACGGCAACGAAGGCAGCGATGACGAAGACGAAGATGATGATGAAGACGATGAGGACGGGGATGATGATGATGAAGAGGAAGACGATGAAGAAGAGGAGGAAGAGGAGGATCAACCACCTGCCAAGAAGAAAAAATAAACCATTTCCTTGTTATGTTTATTCTGTTTTTCTTCCATGCTTGTTTGGAGTATGTAGTAGTAGTAGGAAGAGGGGGAATTTTAGCTCTTCTGTTGGAATTAATCATCCTTTTGCAGACCAAATGAACTTCTTGTCACCCTATTTGACTGTTAGTTATGATATATATTCCATTTAACCCTATGAATACTCTTTTAACTTTCATGCTTCTTTACCTCCGCTAGGTAAGGGTAAGGTCTGCGTACACACTACCCTTTCCTTTCCGAGTCAACCTGTTGAATTTTGTAGTTCTTGGTTTCTATTTTAAACATTATATGCTTAGCTACTGAAAGGGTGTATGGCATGCTGACATTCACTCTGATTTTCAAAATGTTTTTACTTTCGTATTTTGTATTTCATCATTCATGCTTATTCAACACTCTGATAGAGTGTAAAAATCCTTTATATTGCCCGTATACAAAAACATAAAAGACAAAGTAAAAGTTTATTCAATTGACAAACATAACACCTAACAAGAACCTCCAATTACATTTTTGTCCTCAATGACATTTGACACTCCAATAATATAAAAGTTTTTTAATACTATCAGTGTACATAACATAAATTTCATTTTAATAACACAAAAATAAAAGTTTATTCAATCAACAAAACACCTAACAAAAACCTCCAAATTTCATTTTAGCATCATAACAAAGTAAAAACAACAACCAAAAAAACAAAAAAAAAAAAAAAACCAAGAACACCCTCCCACCCCAACCCCTTTATTCAACCAAATACTCTCATTTTCATCTTCAAATTGCAGCCAATGGAGATGGTGAAGGAGCAGAAATGCTACAATAAAACACCAATATATCACCAAAACTTGGATCAAATGGGAAAAGTTTTTGCCAACATTTACTATCAATCCCATGAATTACTTCACAACATGGAGAATCAAGCCTTCCAATACCAAGAAATACTTTATAAATTCCATTTACACATTTATTTAACCTTTTAAGTGATGACCAACATTCAACTATTTCTTCATCTTTAGGACTTGGTGCCAAAATTGGATCAAGACTAGCCATAGCTACTAGTGAATTTGTCATGCTTAATATAATGAAAAATGCAAAAAACTTCAATTTTTTTGTTGCCATGACTAATTGAATTTTCTCTGATTTTTAAATATTTTTTGAGGATTATTTTTTGTTTTTGGATGATGTTTGGTGGATTTTTGTGTGGAAATATAAAGGTATTTATAGGGTGATTTTGGTGTAATAAAGAATACATATTTTTATTATGAAATGCATTTTTTGGTCAGTTTTGAATCTCATTTATGGCTATTTATGCAAGAAATAAAAGTTAATTGTAAGAGTTTCATGACATTTAATCTCAAAACATGTTGAGCTTTTAACTAAAATTTTAATGTTAATTTTAAAGGTATTTTTCTTATAGAATTTCGGTTCCTGATCCTTCTAATTTCTAGTTAATGGACTATATATAAGGACCCCATGTGGTGAAATCAGGATTTTGAATAAGGGGTTCAAAATCTGACAAAATATATATACAAAGTCACCGAAGGGAGTTCGACATCTACTATATATATCTAAAAAATTATTTTAATCATATATAAATAATATAATTTTTTAGAAGGGTTCGAATAAACCCCCTAATAATATAATCATTCTCTATAAATTGAATCTTTGTTATTTGGATAACACCATAGACATATTTTTTTCTTTTCTATATTTGAAGATATAATATCGAATTAAGTGAATGGTCAAACACTAAAATTAATTATACATAACATTATAATTCATTCATTAACCAATTTAAAGTGATTACCTATAGTTACAACCAAAAAAAGAAAGGTAACCCCTTCCTTAAAAAAAGCAATAAATACTATTAACATCTTTTTACTATATATCACTAAATTCTAACATTAAACAAAACAAAAATTAAACTGATAGAACATTAATGTCACTATTTCTTATCAATTTTGCTCATAAACTTTACATATAAATACCACGAAAAAGAACATCAGGTTCGAGTAAATTTTTTTTGATGACGAGCCCTAAAGCCTTATATTCAACTATGTTAGTTTCTTTATTATCCATATCAATTGTGAATGCTCAAATTTTTGATGGATTATTACCTAATTTTGATGGATTATTGCCTAATTTTGGAGGATTAGGTCCTGATTCAATTACAACATGTTTAACATCAGTTAATGATGTTCCTAATTGTGTTGAAGAAATAATTACATCTTTTTTAAGTGTTCAACCCCATTTAATTGGTCCTCAATGTTGTGAAGCTGCCTTAGATATTACTGATGAATGTTGGCCAAATTTTTTCCCATTTAATCCATTTTTTCCACAAGCTATTAGGAGTTTTTGTTCAAAATGAGGCTCAAATAATACCCCTCCATTGATCATGTAAAATAGTTCTTTTACGTTGGAGAAAATAAGACGTATTGCTTGTTATAACAGGTTAAGATACGTTGATGGTGTAAAATGTTTATTATACTAGTGTGGATGAGTTAGATCCAAGTAGAGTTAACCACAAATATGTGCAAAAAGCAAAATATACATTTTACTAGCAAGCCAATGGGCATAAGAAAACGGTAAAAATTTACCTGCACCAAGACCTGATACTGTAAAAATTCTTTCGCACGCGTGGTATATGGACGTTAAACTCATAATTTTATTGATGCATTATCAATTTAAAGCCGCTCATGACAAGTTAAAAGAATATGGAATGTAAAGACCAACAAATAAAAGCTTACAAAATTTTCAACTTCTTTAAAAGTATATATATATATATATACTATATACTATATAGGATCCATTTTACTCTTTAAGAAAAGAATGTTGGATTTTTCTAAACTCTACATAAACATTTCGCTATCATCACTAGTTCTCCACAGACCTACATCCTATCTATCGATGAACACGAAAAAATGCTCGAAATAACGTAGGCAAAAGGAGGAGTAAAAACATCACCAGACGAAAATTCGATGCAGTTGAGTTGCTTTTGTCTTAAAACATCTTGAAGAGCAGACCACCGTGGGTGGCGAAGAAAGGAGCGAAAACGAGCGACTCCACAGCCATCAGCTTGATAAGAATGTTCAATGATGGTCCAGATGTGTCCTTGAGGGGATCACCAACAGTGTCACCAATGACAGCAGCCTTGTGTGGATCGGATCCCTTGGGACCAAGAGTTTTCGCGTGTTCTGAAGCTCCAGCCTAATATCCCAAAAACGACACAAATAAACGAGTTGTAAATGACGTTTCTTGAGATTCTTATAGGAACTGAATGTGAATGTATAAAGTCTAACTAATTGTATACCTCGATGTACTTCTTGGCGTTGTCCCAAGCACCACCTGTGTTTGATGCAGAGATGGCAATCTACAAACCAAAGATCATACGGGATTAGAGAGAAAGAGGAACAGTTTGAAGGTTTTTATACAGGTCATCAGAATAATTACCTGTACACCGGAGACGAGAGATCCTGCAAGCACACCAGACAGGGTTTCCACACCGAATAATATCCCTACAATCAATGGAGTAAGCATGACAAGGGCACCAGGTGGGATCATTTCTTTGATTGATGCATCGGTGGAGATCTTGACGCAGTTGGCATAATCAGGCTTTGCGGTTCCTTCCATGAGTCCAGGGATGGTGTTGAATTGCCTGCGCACTTCCTCAACCATCTTAAGGGCAGCACTTCCCACACTCTTCATTGTCATGGCAGAGAACCAGTAAGGAAGCATTGCACCGACAAGCAAGCCAATAAATACTTTAGGTGTCAAGACATCTACAGTGGAAATTCCTGCACGGCTCACAAATGCACCAAAGAGGGCCAGAGATACAAGAGCAGCAGATCCAATGGCGAATCCCTGTTACCATAATAGAAAGCATGTTAACAAAGAGGCAATGGAGATTGGAGTGGACCTTCTATTCTAACTACCTAACAACATTCGGTGAAGTACAAGAGTATCTGTCTTACCTTTCCAATAGCAGCAGTGGTGTTTCCTGCAGCATCAAGGGCATCGGTTCTTTCTCTGATTCTGTGGCTCATCCCAGCCATCACAGCAATGCCTCCTGCATTGTCACTGATGGGACCATAGGCGTCAATTGCCAAACCAGTAGCTATGGTGCTCAGCATTCCAAGAGCAGCGACTGCAATGCCGTACATTGCAGCAAAACTGAAGCTAACAAAAATGCTGATTGCTATGGCAAAAATTGGAATGATAACTGATTTGTAGCCCAAGGCAAGGCCAAAAATAATATTTGTTGCAGCACCAGTGCGGCAAGAATCAGCAACGTCTTGCACGGGGCTGGAAACAAATGAAACAAAACTTACATTTCTGATAAGCAAGAATCAAATAAGCACCAAAACAGAACAGCTAGAGACCCAAGTCTACCTGTAAGCATTGCTGGTATAGTACTCGGTAACAAATCCAATGATAAGTCCAGCCCACAGACCAACTCCAACGCATAAGAACAACTGCCTGCAAATTCAAATTTGCATGCCAGTTAGCCTTTGATAAATGTTAGTGAGAGACTGAAAGGAAGGACAGGCAGGAGAAATGAATCATCATCCATTAGTTTGTCCCAAATTTTAATGGAGTTGCTTTACCTAAATATTGACTCCATGCTTACAACTTTCGAAGACGATCCGAGAAATATTATGAAGCAACATTCATGTAATGCAAATATTTCAAGTTATAGAAGCACAGGAAAGACTTTAGACTTACCAGCTCTGAACTTCTTTCTGAATTCCAAAGTTGAATATTGTGAAGGTAGACGGAAGGGCAATCCAAGAAACAAGAGCAATTCCAATTGTCATGAGAACAGTTGAGATTACAAGTTGCTTCTTCAACGCTGGCTCAATTTCTTTTACGGCCTTGACTTCAAAGAAATCAGTTGCAAATAAGGTCGTAAGCAAACACACAAGGATACCCACAGAACTGATAAGAAGAGGATATAGCATGGCTGTGAACTCATGGTTGACCCCGAAAGAAGAGATAGAAGCAACAACTAGGGCAGCACACGATGACTCTGCATAAGATCCAAATAGATCTGACCCCATCCCAGCAATATCTCCAACATTGTCACCAACATTGTCAGCAATAACCTAAGCACATAGTTAGCATTAAAACTAACCAGGAAAAAACATAAACACATCTTGCCATTTAAAT